TATCTATGCACTCTTGAATGAAAAAAACGCTTACTGTCTTGAAGACTCAGCGTCGAAATGTTGGCTCCCATCCAGTCCGAATCTGGCATGCTCCTGGAGCAGGATTTGATGCACGACGCAGGTCCCGATAAAACACTTGATAAGCATGTCGGGCAAAATCACAGCCAGTGGCATGCTACTGTGGAATTGGATCTCAACTGCTGTTTTTCTTGAATTCTTTGGACACGTCGCAGGTATCGATCTCACCGTGCATTCCCTTCTTCGTTCATGCCGTGCTCTTGTCGCACCTTCCTGACTCTTAGCCGACTCAAATGGTTGGCTTCAAACCTGAGCCTGAGGGCGCATCCAAACCTGAGCCCCGAGCCTGAGGGCTCATACACCCCTCCAAAAGTATTGAATCTTTGAGGTTTGCTCTTTTGCTACTTTCCCTTCAAAAGGCTGATCTGAAGTCTAAAGAGGTTCAGAATCGAAAGGGAACCTTAGTAAAGCCGGAGACTCTGATCAAGCCTTAGCCAAAGTCCATGGATGTCGATTCTCAACAGCAGCCAATGGCTAGGGTTGTTTGAGGGAGTCAGGAGCATTGTAACCATAGCACAGCCAACCAGGTAGCAGTTGTTGGAAACCCATCTTTTTACCAAACGACTCATCTTGAGGTGCGGTTGCATGTGCGATCTGTTTGGTGAAGGCACTTCCGTGATGAGGATTCTGAAAAGGTGCTGAGGAGACGTCGGAACTGTCTGAGTTGAGTGTGCGGTTTCAGCAGCCTTGCAGCAGCCTTGCAGCCTATCTAAAACTAACAAAACCCTAACAGTGGGTCTCTTACTGCCCGCCAAAAAACGCCCGTGGCCCGCCATCGCGTTCGTGCCTCTGGGCCCAAGGGCTTCAATCTCAATGCTTTGTCAACATGAAGATGTGCCCGCGAAAGCTCTGATGCCTGGCCTGCAAGAACCACGGTTTCGAAACTCACGGAAACTGGGAAGCGAGAACGGATTTTTCAGACCAGATCTGACCTTCTACTTCCCTATCGGCTTTGGCGTCGAGAAACAGGCCAGTCACCGCCTCGACGAAAAGAAAAGTCTGGGGCGACGACAGGGCGACTGCGGACTTCGAGGACTGCCGACGACTCCAAACTGTGGTTCGTCCTCCACCAAGATCCTATCCACACGAGAGTTTTGCTGGGGAGGAACCAGCAGAATGAACATAAACACACCAACGTGAGGGAAAAGACCTGCAGAATGCCAAGCTTGGCAAGACCTATGGCAAAAACACCAGCAATACAAAAAAGCCTTGCAAGCACCACGGTTCTCCCACTGGAAAATGGCACAGTTGGAAGGAACCAGAGATTCTTCCACAAAGATTGTGACACATGATCACGTGATGTCATTCAGGTTCAGTTTGCAAGTATGTCTTATGAGTCCCACGACATTGAATCCAACAGGAATCTCAATCTAGATTCAGCGCGTGCACACGCGCGACGCCAGTGAAGCTCTGCCAAAATCCTTCACCATCGATTTCCGTGGCATGTTTCTATATACTTCCTCATCTATTCTCCACTCAGGCAGTTCTTCCCAGCCTTGCACGAGCAGCTCGGTGGCAAAAACGATGGCCGCGCAGCAGCCGCTCCAGCGGTCCCTCACACCGTAAACCAGGTCCAAGGCCTGGTTGACGGCACCCAAGGACGGCGCCAGACTAGGTCGCGTCCGATCGCTCCGCTTCGTCGCGTCCGATCGCTCCTAGTAAGGCCTGGTTGACGGCCCGTTCGTAGCATCGCTGTCATGGGACCTTTGGGTCCTTTTAATCGAAACCAAAGAAGTTGACAAGTAACATCGTCTAGTTTTGACATCTAGTGAGGGAATTCGCACTTGCGCAGCGAGCCGCCAGAAGGCGCACCATTTTCCGTAAATGCTGCTCAGTTGCACCAACGCTGTCCAGCAAAATGACGAGCTGAGCATTTCCCAATCTGCATTCCTCTTGGAGTTCCTGCGAAAGTTTGGATTGCCCCAACAAAATTCTGCATTGCTCGGAAGATGATGGTTTTGAACTCCCTAATGCCTCGCGCAGCACATGCTTTCTGATTCCTTGGAGAACACTGACACCTACCTAGCAGTAGCACTGATGCTTGGGTATCTGCGTTGCAGAATAGCCGCGATGTTCTTCAACTGAGCAGGTCAACTTCTAGGTGGCCAAACTTGAAGCCAGAAGGTTGTGTCGATGACTATGTATATTTGCCTAGTGCTGACATGGGTAGAGCCACATTGCAAGGCAAGCTGACAGATTGCAAGGGGATGCAATGCGCGTTCCAAGATGGGCAAAAGGCAGTGTCCGCGTCATGAACCTTCGCAGGCTGATTTGCAACGCACCACTCGCATGGTGCGCTATAAGATCACATGCTGCTCATCAGCTTTGCATCCAGCGGTTGACGTGTCACCGAAACACCATGACCTCAATGGCTGCGACAACACCATGAACCCCCAAGAAACCCAGCAGTTTTGGCCACAAGTTGTGCAGCGATCTGCTCTTGTCCACCAGCGCGACTCCGACTCGCCATATCTCACGGGCCAAATCCAACGGAACGCGTGGAGCGGAGGCCTGGATTTGCACCAGCGACAGCAGGTAGTCCTGCTGTAAGGTTTCGTAGACAACCTCTGAGAGAGAGGTGGAGCGACCCTCTGTCAAATGGCCGACACATGGTAGAACCCATGCAAGTGTCGATCTATGTTTTCTGCAGATAAATCACTGCCCTGATGTCCCGCCGATACGGAGACAGTCGTGTCCATTTTCATTGTCTGACTTGAGATTCAACCAACATGTTGGTGTCCAGTTGCAAGGCTTCTGGCTTACAAACAACAAACAACTTGTCCATGCATGCGGCTCATGAATGTTGAAAACGAAGATCTGGAGTTGACAGGATTGCAAGCCCCAAAAACAAAAGGAACAATGAAGCGTGAATACACAGGACCCACCCTGCCGCCAAGCTTGTAGTTGCCAAGTCGCCCGTTTGTTAGGATGCCCACGCATTGGGCAGTCAGCATAAACTACGACGGTCTTCTCATGTTCACGAAGCTTTTGGTGTAGTTGCCATAGAATGCAGGTCTTGCCTGACTCGTGAAGACCTCAATTTCAGCGAACTCTCTTTTTACTCAAGGAGCAAGTCTCTCTAAATATAAAACGAGACTATGGTGGTGACGGCACTCGACATGACTGTCTTGTAACCTGTTCACCCCGGAAATGAGAGCCCTGTAGTACCTCACCCAAAGCACTAATAAAGCGCCGTCTTCTCGAATGTCTTGGTAAAATGGAAGCCCTGCCCCAGCACGCAAACATTGATCCAATTTCTGAACGCAAACGGTGAGAACAAAATGGTGATTGGTCGTCTTGTCTCCTCAAGAGTGAAGCCATGGAAGCTGTCCACATAGTGTTTTGTCCCAAAGTTTGCAAAGGTTATCTAAACGCTGTTTCATTCCATGTATCAACATTCTTAAACCAAACCAAGAGACCTTGCAACGCAATGAGTTGCAGTTTCTTTGGCGTCGCGTCTTCCAATGCGGCTTTGGCCAGCTCCCAAAGGCACTCCACCGCGGTCTGCGTTTCGTTCTCCAATGGAAGGTCTACCGAACGTGAGCCTCACAGAACAGCCGAAGGAGTGACAGCAAGGGAGTCACAGCGGGAACGGTTCGCTCGTGCCACAAGTCGGGTTCCCCCGACTTGCTTGGGCAAGTCATAGCGAAAGACCCATATCCCGAAGAAGAGTCCATCAAGAGAAGGTTTGCTGGGTTTGGACAAGGAGGGCAAATATTGAGGACAACCTGTGCAAGGTTCAAGAAAACATTCAGCGAAACCCCATTGCGGTCAAACTTGTGTTCATTGCTTGTGTTCTTTACCCATGGTTTGCTTCATAAAATGTCTTGCCCTGGTGCGTGTCCCTTGGAGCCCTAAAACATAGAACTGGACGATCTGCTGAGACACATCACATCGAGCACATCTGGCAAACTATATAACTTAAACAAACACTACAAGCATGATGTAGACTGTTGATTGATTAAGAAAATAATGTTCATTTTAAGAAAAAAAAGACATGTGGAGATGTAAAATCATATTAATCAATCCATATCAACCCTCTACCTCTCTTTCTGACCTCCATTTCGATCCTCCGTTTCGATCCTCCCTTGCCCCGTGCCCCACCGGTGGGCGACATCTTCTGCCGCAGCAAATCATCGAAGAGGTTGCTACGACGTTGGAAGAGCTCCACCATGTCTGCACCTCAACACGGTCACAGCTCCGCGGAGCGGTTCGCGGAGCGGTTCGCGGAGCTTTTCTCTGCGGCTCTCACCAGTTTGGAGCTGGATACAAACAGGGCTGGAGGGTGGAAAAAGCCGAAACTCATAGAGTGGGGACGGTGTCTTGGAGTGGGCATGGATGAATTGAACATCATAGACAATGACAATCATATATTAATCCACCGCACGTGGCTGCAGGTAGCTCAACAACCCGCTCAACAACCCCTGGGACTTCCTAGAGTACAGTACATCGAATTTTGGATTGCAATATTCAGCACACTGAATCCCTAAACTTCTCCACACCGATCTGGAAAGAATCTTTCGATTCTCAGCTTAATCATCTGAAGATTTTTGAAGAACATCTGCTCCCCTCATTGTGAACTTGGGCCATCCCACCTTTTAGAGATTTCACGTCCTGCATGAGCTGTGACATGTTCGCCAGCAGCAAATCCAGCTTCGCTAACACCTGCGCTCGCACGGCCAACTCCAAGCCTTTTTAAATTAGTTGTCAAGAGGATTCAGAATCTATACGGATAACCAAGGGTTTCTTGATATCAAGGGTGTCTTCGTCTTTAAAATTTCCGCTGGACACATGCGTCCAACGTTCGGTGTCTTTTCTCCGCATCGACGTCCGTCTCTGCTCGTGGGATCTTCAAAAACTACGCAGAATCAAAACCCGCGCCGACCCCGACAGAATCACATGAAGAATCATGGCACCATGCGTCAAGCCCGCCCTGCCTGTGTGAGCTTTTGATCCAGGTTCTCGATGATGCTCTTCTGTGATGAGATGAACTGTTCCAGGTCGGGACCCAAACCCGCTGAGCCTGGTCCAACCTCTTGCAAGTCACCACGGACCTTTCCAAGAGACTTCCTGGAGCGTGGCATGTGTGTGGCACACTTCAGCATGCTTGTCAACTGGGTTTGGAAGCTCTCGACGTTTGTTCGTTTTGTGGTTTGGTTCTTGTAGACTTTGTGGGCACTTCGTGGGCACTTCGTGGGCACTTCGTGGGCCCCAATTCGACACCTCCAAGCAAAATCACGCCTGGTAACCCTAAGCAAATTCATCAGGCGTGATCGCTCAATCCGGCTAAGATGTCAACACCTCAAAGCAAAATCACTACACAACTTCAGGCAAAGCAATCTGCAAAGGCACAACTGCTCTTCGGCGAGTCGTCGTTGCTGTTCGCCCAGCTTGTGGCTGCAGCGCCGCAGGACATCCGGAGGCATGTCCGGAGTCGCGCCGTTCTCGGCGGCATGGACCTAAAGAACGAATGTGGAATGCAGAAACCTGTGAAAAATCATACAAGCGACGACATCTACAAGTCCGTGTATTTACTGCACGCAGGCCAATGGCCATAGCACAAGTATACCAAACCCGCCAACCCGGTACTGACAGTTTCGGAACTGTTTGATGGGGTTCAACCGGTCACTGGAGCCTCACCCACATGCATCACTGACATCACGAGGGCGCCCTTTAATAGCGAAAACAGACAAATCCTTCATTGCGTGGTGTTAATTGCGAAACTTGTTGATTGTGCCTTTCAACGCACAATGAAAACCTTAGGAAAAACGGCCTAACGTCTGCAACCAAGGAAGCCGCAAGTTCTTCTCCCTTCAGCTGCCCTCCAATAGTCATCAGGATGTGAAGTGGCAAAGCACCCTCCAAAATTGTTTTTAGGCTGCCCGAAATCACTTTGAGGGAGGTCTCTTCTGCTACGGGTGTCTTAAGGATGAAGACCCCGTTGGCTGTGAGGGGTGTCTTTGGAACCATAAGGGTGTCTTAAGGGTGTGAAGTTGCAAAGACCCCAAAGTTGTTCTTTGGCTGGGGGTCTCACCCATTGTGCATCACCATATATCACCCACCGAAGAGTCCAAGTGCTCGGACACTTCCACTCCACAGCGATGGCGAAAGGCGAAAGGCCCGACCAGGAGCCCACGGACACTCACACGGTTCAGCAAAGTGACCACAGCTGCTTGACCTTTGATCTGAAACTCCGCAACAGCTTTGCACTCATCCTCCACCACTGGCCAATAGGACTCCATCGCCTCTTGCAAGGCTGATTGGTATGAAGGTTGTTCCAAAAGCTCCTGGGACGTGTGTGCCAAGCAGTTGAAACACCGACCAAAAGCGCCCCAAAAGGTCAGGTCGTCTGAAACGACCGAGGACTGGTGAGTGCTGATCCAGCGGAATCCAGCTCTCGAGCAAGAAACTTGCAACATCTCCTCGACACCTTTTGTATAACTTTCTGAATTCACAACAAGACAGATCTTTCTGCAAGAAAGGTGTCTGTGCAAGCCGCTTCCAACATGAATAACTTGCTGTCACGAAGAAGGCTGTGGACACCTAACTCATTGGCATGGGTGAAACAAAGCACTTCAGACATTGTTTGTGGGGGGAAGCACACCAGGGGAACTTCAAGGAAGGGATCCTGATTTTGGGGCACCCTCCCTGAGTCGGAGGAGTATTGGTTTGGAAAATCTGCTCCTGCACTTTGGAACTTGTGGAAGTCCCACGGAGCCGCGCCACGGTGTTCTTCACGCGCTCGTGCAGGGCCTGCCATCGGATCCATCCGGCGCGAAAAAACCAATGGAAATCGCCTGCTTTAGAAGGGACTTCTGCCGGTGATTCTTCAACACTTCTCAAAGGTTGGCCATGCAAAGACATGGTTGCTGTACTGTTTGTACTGTTGGTGCTGTTGGTGTTCGTCAATAAGGAGCGGATGTGAGGTGATTGGTCACGTTTGCTCCTTAAAAAAATAACAAAAAAAGTGTAATAACAATAATACGACGTTATCGTGACTGTATGAGAAGAAGCACACGCTTGCACACAACCTATGTCTTTTTTGAGTGCACGAAAAGCTCATTGCCTTTGGAACTTGGAACTTCCTGGTTCGGACCACGCAGAGCCGCGTGCGGCTCGCGGCTCACCTTGAGCTCATCGAGCTCATTTTCGGGCCGTCGTTGAGCCAGGATGGAGATCTGACCATCCTGGGGAGCACCAAATAATGAGTAGCTAGAGGCTAGAAGCTACTAGCAACAAGGGCATCGCTACTAGTAACAAGTGCCTTACTAGTAGTAACAAGAAGCTACTAGCAACAAGGGTTTCAAGAGCGGGACCAAAAGGCTTTTGGGTCCTTGCAGTTACATGCAAGAGACATGCAGTGGCTACCCTCGAGTGAGGTGGGCACACCAGCCAACCGGCATTTGGGGATCTCCTAGTGTCATACACACCCAGGCGTTTCGTATAACCTCTCATAATGGCCTTCGCAATGGTGCCCGCGTGTCACTGGCAGATACCCATGTCTCATATGTCTCGTTCATGTGACACGTGGGGTCTCTTCATGTCTTGATCGTGGGAGTCCCGTGCCCCACAGATGCGCTTGGACAGCCACTCCGCACCCCTCGGCGTTCCGTATTTGGCACACCATGAAGTGCCAGATGGATGTGCTCACTGAACAAGACACCATATATTGAGCCTACCATCCGTTGCGTCAGAAACGGCATCACCGCATTGTGGGCACATTCAGCCCCCAAGATTCAGGGCTCACAGCTCACCTACTACAGGTTCCCAAAGAAAAAAACGGCGCGTTAGATCCACCTGCTCGGACCCACGAGGGATCCTTAAAGCCTTAGGCCTTCGGCTCGGCCGCACGTCGTCGCGGCGTCGTTGAGATCGTGAAACACGTCGAACATCGAACACCAATTCGTTCGAAATCGCGCAAAAAGGATCCCTGATCTTTTGACAGTCTTTTGGGGGTAATGGCTAGTGAGATGGTTCAGGGACCATAGCCAGCATAGCCAGCATAGCTGTCCAAATCCTACTCCTCTATATATAACGATCGTTGCCTTGGGGATGTGAGCCATGACGACCCAATCGCCTTGGAACACCTCCCAATCCAAAGCGAGACGCCAGCTCGAGCAGTGCACCCAGGGCGGCACTGGTCACCAGATCTGGTTCTGGTGCTGGGCCCAACAGAAGCTTACAAGCTTCACCTGGGGCGATCTGTGAAACTCCATCTCCTTTTTGTTCGGCCAACTCTCGTCTACTCGACAGTGGAGAAAGATCTTCTATTCAAAAGTCCGCATTAGAACCAATTGAATTCTAGACAAAAAAGGACCCAAAATGAGTCCAACGTCGACATGGCACGGATAGCTGAATGCCCATCAATGCCCACAGCGTCACCGAACTTAGACCACAAATCACCCAAGTCAACGCCCCAGGAGACGGGCACGTCAAAGGTCTCCTGGATTTGTTCTCTTGGTCCAACAGGAGCCACAGGGAGCCACTTGGGTGTGGTTCGTGTGGGTTAGGACCCTGGTAGGTTGCGCTCTTCGTAAGCAGGATGTCTTGACCGACCGGTCGCCACATTTCACCGGCCGTCATCCGCTGGGGCGGCATAGAACCACGTTCCTTCTTCGGGGATCTTTCTCGGTGCTACCAAACGTGGTGAAGTGGTTCACACCTCTTCGTGGTGAAGTGTGCATTACAAGAGGCAGACCTCCCGACTTTTGCTCTTAGACTTCGGGGAGTAGAATGTGCTTTGGATCTATCTGTTTGGAAGTCGCTCCCATTCTTGCCACTGTGGCCGTGGCCACCTCGCACTTCTTCACGAGTCCTTGAGAGACTCTGCTAAGAGCTTCATCTGCTTCAGCCCGTTCTTGGCCTCTTTCTCAGCCAGGTCCATGGCACCTTCGATCACCTCATCTAAGCCTCGATAGCAGAACTAGGTCCGTCTGAGGGCAGGAATTTCAACGAATGCCAAACACAGGGTCAGTAAATTTGAAAGGAACTTGACATGTGATGATGGGAATGTTCTTCTAAGTCTTCAAAATTCTATTTTTAGCTTTCTTCGCCCATGCTTGGATCCTCTTTGTGCCAAGAGTCGGGGTAAATCGAGCCACTCACTGAAGATGTCCTGCAAGAGATCTGCGATGCTGCAGCATCCATGAATGGTAAAGTCGAGCACTGCCTTCGCCTGCTTTGAATATGACTCTCCAAACTTCTCGGCCATGTTCAGCAGCTCTTCGAAGCTTTGCGCATCAAGTGGTTGACTAGCTTCTTTGCTTGTCTTGCCTTTTGTACCTGCATCAGGTAGCGTCTTTCGCATCCTTGCAATCCATCGCCCAGTAGTGCTGGCCAAACTGCTCCCTGCACGTTTCATGAAGGATTTGGGTGCACCATTGATCTTATGAGTTGTGTCTGCGACAAACTCTGCCATCTCAAGCAGGACCTTTGGGCAGGGCCAAGTCCAAACTGTGCTTGCTTGAGCTAGCGAGCGCCCGAAAAATAGCATAATGTATTTGTTTGCCTGAAGAATGATGCCGGTTAAGTTTCATCACAGAGATCCTGTATGCTGCTTTGTCGAGTATGCACTGCAAGTACAGTCTGGGCACACCTTCAATATTGAGATACTTCAGCGTCCGGCTCCCTTGAGAGTAGCAAAACATGACGCTACTAGGGGCTCCTGGCCGTACTACTAGGAACAAGGACGCTACTAGGGGCTCCTGGCCATACTACTAGGACAAAGGACGCTACTACTACTACTACTACTACTACTACTACTACTACTACTACTACTACTACTACTACTACTACTAC